GAGGATGCAGGTTTCGAATCACCCATTCTGAATCTCTTGAGTATTTCTTTGACATACTTTCTTTGATGTAGCACCATACCTTACTTCGATATTTGAAATTCCAAACCTAATAAATAAGACAATTTTCCCATATCAGACATTTCAAATTCCTTCATCATCAGCTCTTTGAACTTCGACAAGTTCTCCAAGCTATTTCCAGTTACTAGAAAGTCATTGACATATAAGTAGATGATTGTTATATCTTGTGCTACATCCTGAACATAGACACCATACTCAGATTTGCATTTGACAAATCCCAATTCGACTAAGTATGAGTCGATCTTCTTGTACCATGCCCTAGGTGCATGCTTGAGGCCATAGAGCGCTTTTTGCAACTTATATACTTTACTAGCTTCCTTCTGAATCACAAACCCTGGAGGTTGTGTGATATAGACCTCTTCGTCTAAAGGACCATTCATAAATTCTGATTTCACATCTAAATGAAATGTCGACCAATCTTGGTTGCATGCCAATGCTACCACTAGTCTAACAGTCTCTAATCTTGCTACTGGAGCAAATACTTCAGAGTAGTCGAGTCCTTCTCTTTGAAGAAAATCTAGAGCTACTAATCTTTCTTTATGTCTTGCTATCAAGCCATCAACATTAGGTTTCAACTTGAATACCCACTTTACTTCGATAGCTTTTGCATGTGCTGGCAATTCGACTAAGTCCCATGTCTTATTTCTTTCGATTGCATGTAACTCTTTGACTATAGCTAACTTCCAATATTTAGTATTCAAAGCTTCGCTATAGTTAATTGGTTCAGCACCTGCAAGTAAAGAAAGATAAACTAATTCTCCATCTAGTGTGACTTCATCATCACCCACCACTTCATAATCATGAAGTCTTGTTGGAAGAACTCTATTTCTTTGAGGTCTTTGGCTTGTTTCAGCCACAACCTCTTTGACGTCGGTTGTGTCAGAAATGTCATCAATTGCTTCTTCTTTGACTTCGACTGGATTCTCAACAATTCTTTCTACCTCTACTTCATCAGTTTCTTTATCGACAGTCGAACTCATCAATGGCTTGTTGCTAGAATTCCAATCCCAGGCAGAATTTTCATTAATCATAATATCTCGACTCAACACAATCTTTTCATTAACTGGATTGAATAGTCTGTATGCACCAGTTTTATGATATCTTACTAGAATCATAAGTTCACTCTTGTCATCAAGCTTCCTTCTTCTTGCATCAGGAACATGCTTGTAACACATAAAGTCAAACACCTTCAAATGACTCACTGATGATCATTTACCACTTCATACTTCTCCAGAAACTTTATGATTCAATATATTAGTAGGACACCTATTAAAAATATAAACTACAATCAAAACAACTTCTCCCCATAAAGACTTTAAAATTTTTCTTTGCTTCAGCATGCATCTCGCCATATCTAATATGGTTCTGTTTCTTCTTTCAGCAATTCCATTATGTTGAGGTGTATAAAGATCAGTTACCTCATGATCAACACCATGTTCTACACAGAAATATTCAAATATCTTGGATGTGTGTTCGCCATCTCCATCTGTTCGTAGAACTTTGATCTTCTTCTCACTATGGTTTTCAACAAGTATCTTAAATCTCTTAATGATTTCGAATACTTCGTCCTTTCGTTTAATCACATAGATCCACAACTTTTGACTAAAGTCATCGACAAACGAAACAAAATATATGTTTCCACTAATTTTATGTTCTTCGAATGGACCATATACATCTGAATGTACCACTTTGAGTATGCGAGATGATCTCATTGGCATAGTCAAAACGAAAGAATTTATGGATTGCTTTCCTACTAAACAACCTTCACAAAGTTTTTCAGGAATCTCAAGACTTGGAATTCCAGTAACCATATCTTGAGTAATCGGTTGATTGAGTGATCGAAAATTCAAATGTCCAAACCTCAAATGCCACAACCAACTATCCTTGTGGTCAACAACAGTTTTCAAACGTTGAACTTCAGTCGAGCTGATCATAGTCTTAAATATCCTATTCTTCGACAACGGAGATTTTAAGACCAAATTGTTCTTGGTGTCAAACAATTTCACTTAGTAAGTTTCACTTTATTCTAGGTACATAAAACACATCTTTGATCATAGCTTTCCCTCCATTACTCATTTGGAAGACTATATTTCCAGTACCTTCTGCTTGCAACGAACTGTTATCAGTAAGTTTTACCTTGCCCTTCTTTGAATCGTCAAAATTTGCCAACCACTCCTTTCAACCAATCATGTGGTTCGAGCAGTCTGAATCGAGAAACCATAACCACCATACCACCTTCAGAATCATCTGAATCTTGGCGTGCAAGGTTTTCTCCTTCGTCCTTGCTTGTCGATCCCCTGTCTTTTCTGTACCAACAATTCTTGGCTACGTGGCCCCACTTTTCACAGTTATAGCATTGCACACCTTTTTTATCTTCTTTTTCCTTTTGATAGTTTCCTCCTCCTCCTTTCGAGGATTTAGAAGCTCCATCTTCGACCTGATATTTGTGAGGTTTCGACCAAGACTTCTTTCCCTGAGTCTTGTCAAACTTGCCTTTGAATTTGTTGGAACCACCATCATTTTTCCATGACTGAGCTTGTAGAGCCTGTATCGAATCTTGCACTCTTTTCCTTTCGACAATTCTCATCTCATGTGCCTCTAACGAACCAACCAAATCTTCCACTTTAGTGGTTTCAAGATTGTTGGATTCTTGAATAGCTACGATAACGTGATCAAAGTGAGAGGTCAACATTTTCATTACCTTCTCAACTATCATCTTATCAGTTATGGTTTCACCACAACCCTTCATGAGATGGACGGGTTTTTGAACCGTCGACACATATTCTGTAACTTTTCATCTTCTCCCGTCGACAACAACTCATATTGTCGATGCAAGATTTGTAACTTGAGAACCTTGACTTTCTCACCTCCTTCGTAATACTTTACCAGAATATTCCATGCCTCCTTCGCCGTTTCAGCATGAGAGATTCTGTCGAAATTAACAGCATCGATCGTCGTTTGAATGCAATAAGCAGTCTTGCAATCTCTCTTCTTGACTTCGTTGTGGGATTTTTTTTGTTCGTTGGTTGCATTTGCAACCAACGCAGGAACGTCGTCGGTAACCACTTATAGGGTCTCATGGAAGCGAAACAAGGATTGCATCTGTTTTTTCCATCGGATTCAATTCTTACCGTCAAGCATTGGAAGAGAATTCAGAATGCCCTTATCACTAGTCATCTTCACAGCGGTTGAATCATTTGCCCTAAAAACAAGATCTCTTACGCGAAGTTCTTGAAAACTCGATCAAGAACAATAACCAAAAGCTCTGGATACCAATTTGTTAGTGCGTGAGACACTTTTAGTGAGAAGAGAAAGAGGAAATAATAAAGGAAATAAGGATTTATATTATTGAATTGTTACAAATAATGAAATAGACTAGAACTATTTATATACAATCGTAATGGGGCTTGAGTCTACACAACTTAGATTATATTTAAATATTAAATCTAATCTAATCTAATATTTTAATAAATCTAATTTAATATTTTAACAAAGACGACAATGATAACAATTCACAACCTCGATAACACCTCCGACACGCATGGTGACTATTATCAATTCCCAACTAGCAGCTTCTAATATGGCTATGTTGTTAAGGAACCGTAACAGTGCAAAGATCAGGTAAGACATGTTGTGCTAACAAACCAAGGTCACATTAGCAAAAAGTGGAAAGCAACAACGATCCCTAGTTATTTTGGGATTATTTGGGAATAATTGTGTACATATGCTTCGAAGCTCATGCTGCAAACCGGTGCACATTTCTTTCTAGATTAACAAGTTTTTGTAAAGCCAACATCATAAACATGCTTGGAGAAATTTGAAATATTGACGGTTCATAACAGCAACAAGTGCTTTGGATTAACTTATTTTTGTGTTTAAAATAGCTTATAACAAAAAGAAAAGAAAATCATCATTCTAGTTTCCTAAATTTATAAAGATCTACTATCATATTAGTTCATTTCGGAAATATTAGCACTATTTTACTTCCTGAATCTCTGAGCAACAATCATATTAGTGTGAATGATGAAGCGTAGTTTGGAAACATTTTGACTCGTGAATCATATATGACTAGTGTTTTAAAACTCACTAAATTACAATATCGTTGAATTAGGGACTAGCTTATAATTTTTCTAAGATTTAAGCTAAGCCAACCATGCACCTGAGCATGTACCACATGTTGGGAGAATACCTTAGCATGTACCACATGATGGGAAATTTTACACCATCTTAAACACAAAACTTTGAAACTCTTAGATTTTCAGCACACTTGTACTTCATACAGTAAGGAATTTTAAACCAGTATATCAAACAATTATTTTGATTTAGTACTTCGGTTTTAAATAAAATAAAACAGTTTGATTCGGTTCAGATGATTTTTTATTATATTTCAATTCAGTTTAATTTTGTGATTGTTCGATGAATAACCCTATATATTAGTTTTGATTTAGTACTAACTAAGTTACTAAAAAAAAGTCTTGTGTCGGTGAATATCTAGAAATGAGATATGATGATATAATGTTCCAAATTGAGTGTAGAATATGTCAAAATGAGGAATTTTTCTAGGCCGGACTTGTATTTAAATCAACGTGTGAATGTTACTACTAATTAGTATGGGACCATGTAGAAATAAAAGCTGAGAAAACTAGTTGTAGTATTTACAAAACATTAGCACAAAAAATGTGTTGAACAAATAAACATTTGAGATATAAAAATAACTAGAAGTAAAGATGCATGTAAAGTCAACGATCAACTATTCATTTCTTACTTAATTTCTCCTCTCTTTCCTTGAACATTTCAAATAAGCTTTGTATCTTTCAATTCTAATTATAAATATATATTAGTTCGGTTCGTGGTTTAGAACCTTTCATCATCTTCATCGTCTTCGTCATCGTCATCTGGTTAATATTATTATTTTAACAGAGATGGGAAACTGTTTGGCGAATTCAGATCATGACAGAAAGATTCAGAAAAGGAAGAAGCTACAAAACAATACTTCTTCTACAGGTATTTTATGGCTATGATTAATTGTTGTTTATTATGTTTTCTTATAATTATCATCAATGATGAAATTAAACTAGTGGTTGATTAAGATGCAGATGGTGATGAGAGAAGAGTTGGTGGAAAAATTGTGACCCCGAATATGAAAATGTTCACATTAGATGAGTTGAAAAGTGTGACCAGAAACTTCAGACCAGACACAGTGCTGGGTGAAGGTGGTTTTGGACGTGTTTTCAAAGGATGGATCGATAAAAACACTTATAAACCGTCTAAAGTAGGTGTTGGAATTCCCGTCGCGGTTAAGAAATCCAGCGCCGATAGTGTCCAAGGCTTACAAGAATGGCAGGTTCGTTAACTTTCTCTATAAGTTGGATTCTTCTGCACCAGATAATAATTTTATCGTATTTTTTTAAGAGCGAAATTGTCTTTACAATAGAATATTTTTTTACCATAAAATATATGGATGATGAAGTGTTCGAGTACATAAAAAAATTTTGAATGCAGAGTGAAGTGAAGTTTTTGGGGAAATTCTCGCATCCAAATCTTGTTAAACTACTTGGGTTTTGCTGGGAGGAAGATCAGTTCCTGCTTGTGTATGAATACATGCAAAAGGGCAGTTTGGAAGGTCACCTATTCAAAAGTAAGAAGTTAATTAATTAATTATATATTATATGATTAAGATAATGAAATGAAGTTTATGAATGTTTAAATGAAAATTAATTATAGGTCCAGAACCACTTTCTTGGGAAATAAGGATGAAGATAGCTATAGGAGCTGCTAGAGGATTGGAATTTTTGCATACTTCAGATAAGTCTATTATTTATAGAGACTTCAAATCCTCCAACATTTTGCTTGATGGGGTATGTGTTGCTATTTAAGTTAATTTGTGATGATGACAATGATGAATGGTTAATTGGAATTAGTTGATTTTATGTTGTTGATTAATATTAGGATTTCAATGCAAAGTTGTCTGACTTTGGGTTGGCAAAGCTTGGGCCAGTTAATGGTAGGTCACATGTGACCACCAGAATCATGGGGACCTATGGTTATACAGCACCGGAGTACATGGCTACAGGTAAATTGGGTTTTTTTTTTTTTTAATGGTTTTTCTATATTAGTGTTTAATTAGTAACGCATAGTCATACTAAATTTGTGGATGTTAAAATATCATGTTTTAGCCAAATTCTACTTTGTATTTTTTCTTCCTTAAATAAACTAAGTTCGTAGGAGTACAATTATTGTCAAAACACTTTTGTCAATTGGTTGGTACCAGATAACATTGCTTTTAAAATACAATTATTAAGTGTATGCCATGGTGCAGGCCTTATTTATTATATTACTTTTATGTTGTTGAAGAAATATATTCTTCCTAATATATTAACTATTAATTATTGACAGGTCATCTTTATGTGAAAAGCGATGTGTATGGATTTGGTGTTGTTCTTCTAGAAATGTTAACTGGCTTAATAGCACTTGACACAGATAGGCCAACATATGAGATGAATTTGGTGGATTTCACAAAGGGATATCTACATGACAAAAAGAAACTCAAGAAGATAATGGATCAAAGATTGGATCAACAATATCCTCTAGCAGCAGCATTTCTTATAGCACAACTTATACTCCAATGTTTAGAAGCTGACCCTAAAAATAGACCTTCTATGGAGCAAGTATTGCAAATTTTAGAAAAGGCTCAAACTATTAAATTTAAGCCCAAAGTGAAAAAATCGAGAAATGCACAACAGAAAAATAAGAGATCAAAAGAACATCTTACTAATGACCGATGTCTGACTTCTCACAATAATAGTATATCTGAATCACAAATTCATTCTCTACAATAGTCTTTGATATAGATTTACTTAAGTCATTATGTAATTTTACTATTGATTATTATATATTTTGCGCATATGTGTAATTTTTATTTTAGCAATTGCATGTATACTTTAAAGAATGAATATTCAATCACATTTTGCGTAAATTAATAAATTTATTTAAATTTTATATATTTAGTAAATGAAATCCCTAAAAGAAATTAGGTCAGGTGTAGATAAATTTGAGGCATGATCAGATGTTTGTTTTCTTTTATTGAAGATATAAAAATTGGGTAAATTGTGTTATTGTAACACACAAAGATGAATGTTTAGTTCTTCTCAAGAAATGTGTGAGGTACAACATCACTTACTACCCTTAAATTGAATTTGGTGTTAACTTTGGAATGCCAAGAGAGAAAAAGTAAAATGGAATAAACTCATTGTATTATTCTTTTCTTGGAATGTACAAGACAGTATTATATATATTGTGAAGTAACAAACTAAACTGTTAAGTAACAAACTAAACTAACTGTTAAGTAACAAACTAAACTGAATTATTTGCATTATGTAATAGCCCCCACAAGCTGGACTATGGATGTCTAATAGACCAAGCTTGGAAACAAGAGAATCAAAAGAGGGAGCTGCCAAAGGCTTGGTGAGAACATCTGTCAATTGAGCAGCAGAAGAAACTGGTAAAAGGTGGATGAGACCAGTTTGGATTTTCTCACGAATGACGTGGCAGTCAATTTCGATATGTTTTGTCCGTTCATGGAAGGTGGGGTTGTGAGCAAGGTAGATAGCACTTTTGTTGTCACAATAGACTGAGCTAGGTTGATCAAAGGAGATGTGGAGATCCTTGAACAAATACTGCAGCCATTGCAATTCACAAGTCAAACTTGCCAAGGCCCTGTATTCCGCTTCTGAACTTGATTTGGATACTGTAGACTGCTTTTTGGATTTTCAGGATATGAGGAAATTGCCAAGGAACACACAATATCCAGTTACAGATATGCGGGTAGCAGGGCAACTTGCCCAATCTTTTTTTTTTTAAATGAAATAAACTCATTGTATTATTCTTCTTTTGGAATGTACAAGACAGTACTATATATACTGTTAAGTAACAAACTAAACTGTTAAGTAACAAACTAAACTAACTGTTAAGTAACAAATTAAACTGAATTATTTGCATTATGTAATACACGTATTGTTTTTATCATAATAATTTTTTGTGATTTTTTATGTTTTTGAAAAAATATATGTTTTTTAGATTTTTATTAAAAAAGTTTGAGATTTTGTCGTGTGAAGAATTTTATGAGTTTTTATTTAGATTTTGGAGGGATTTATGAGTTTTTATCAATTTTTTTAAGAATTGTCGAATTTTATACTACCTGATTTTTTAAATATATTATTGATTTTTTCAAAATCCTATAAATTTTACCATATTTTTCAACAAAAAAAAAAGTGATTTTTATCAAATTTTTCAAAAAACTTTGACCTTTTACTGAATTTTTTGAAACATACTATTGAACTTTTAAAAAATTCGATAAAATTAATTTCGACTTGTTTTTTACATATCGTAAATGAACTACCGGTATTTTCAAAAAATCTAAAAAATACCATATTTTTAGGACATGTTATCAGATTTTCTATTCATACAGAATTTTTCCATTGCACTCCAAATTTTTCATTTGTTCTTAATATAGATATTTTGAAAATATAAAAATATGCGGGGTGGCAGAAAGAATTCTCTTCACTGTTTGTCAATTGAAACATAGATGCATGAGAGCCAGAGTCAGTGGGCTGATAGCTAAGCCCATTAAAGAAATTAAAAAATAGCTTTATTAAAATATTTTTATTCTTACTAAGTGGCTCATGGTCCAGTATATTTAGTAAATCCAACCTATTTATTCGTAGATCAGTCACAATCTCTCAAACAATTGGTTTTAGGATTGTTCAAAATTAAATCGACTCAATAGAAAATTGTAAATCAAACCAAATCAAGTCGAAACTGTAAAAAATTATATTTAGTTTGAAATTGTCTGGGTTATCTTTTAACAAAACCGAATGATTTAGTTTGGCTTACGATTTGTATTTTGCAAACCAAACCAAACCGAATCAAACCATATTATATTACAACTTAAATTTTACTTAACTCACATTCAACCCAAACCTAAACTTATTATATGTTAGTCTTATGATTACGAACAATTTTCTTATCATACACTTATGATTTCAGTTTTAGTCTTCTCAAATCTTTCTTAGCATTGTCGCGTCATCCTCGCCATAGACATCTTACTTCTTCTTTTCTAATCTCTACTATCTTATATTCTTTCTTTTTCACCTTCTCATTTTTATGCAAACGTCCCCTCTTTCATTTTCGTTTTTATCACACATCTTCTTCTATAATCTCTTCTCTCTTATATTCTTTCTTTTTCATCTTCACTAATATATCATCTCTTCTATTTTTTTTATTATAATATTTTTGATATTGTTTTATGATATTATTTTATGTTTATTATTTCACTTTTGTCTAATATAATTTATACATATTAAATGGAAAGTTATTGTCCAAATATGATGAGTTTTGTTGTTATTTGGTATTGTATGAATGACTAAATACAAAGTTATTTTGTCATCTATATGTGTATGTATGACTCAATAAAATATTTGTAAAAGACTGAACCAATCGAAACGAATTGCATTTGTTTGATTTAGTTTAGTTTGATTTTTTTCTAAAACTAACCGAACCAAATTAAATCACATATTCTTTTCTTTTACAATTCAGATGATTTTTAGCGTCAAAATCGTCTAAATTGTACCACAAACACTCTTAATTGACCTTACCAAACTCATTAAACCCAAATTGAAATATGTCAAATCCAAATTCCAAAATTTAATATCAATTTCTTTCAACTGCACAAACCACACCTTCCCTTAATTGACCTTTTACCAAACTCATTAAAACCCAAATTGAAACATGTCAAATCCAAATTTCCAAATTTAATATCAATTTCTTTCAGCTGCACAAACCACACCTTCCAAACACCCAAATTCCAAAATCCAAAAACTTAACCTTCCCACAACATTCTTTCATTCCTAAACCATCATCCACATTTTAACCACTCAAACTTTTAAAGAATTTCAAGTATTGTTAGTGGATTGATAGTTAAGCCCATTAGAAAAAGAAAAAAAATCAATCTTACTAAAACATTTTGATATCTAATGAAAGGGGAGCAATTTGTATTTAATGTTATTTTTCCAAAGTAACCCATGACCCGGTGCACTTAGTAAGTTCTGATTATTTATAGTGTAATCTTCAAGTTGTATCTATTTATATTGTGAGAATATCTTATGATATCTTATATCTTATATAGAGGAAAAATATTCTATGAAAAATAAAAAGTATCATTCGGAAATGTATTTATGGGACACATTCTTTTTTAAAAAAAAATACTTTTACGGAAAATCGAAGTTGTCTTTCTAACTCTCTTAAACCACAATCTTCCGATCCACTTCTCTCCAATTACTACCAAAGCTGTTCATCACACAAATCTATTTTCAGTTTCATAAATTGTTGATTTTTATATTAGTAATTAATAAATATTTATTTTTGTTTAAATTCAAATATGAAGAGTGAGATATCGTTATATCGTGTATACAAGAGAGCTGAAATTGAAGATCATCCTTCTCTCCCTTGTTGTCTTCCGATCACAATATCTTCCTCAATTCCTTCATCGGTGAGAGCCTCACATTTTGAAAAAACATAAACAAAATGAAATATTGGGAATAGGATTTGTTGTTGAACAATCAACAAAGGTAGTTGATAATCATCAAATAGTTAACAAAATGGATGGAAACAACAATAACAATGATAGTGATTGTAGTTTAGATCAAGTAACAACAACTCTTGGTAGTGATTATAAAGGACAATTATCATTACACCTCTCACATATATGAGAATTTTTCAATTTAATTTTAACCTTTTTTGAAGGGTTATTTAGAATCACTTTTTTCTGTATGGATCTTTTTGATATGCAATATTGTTCTTCTCTCTTACTCGATCATTTTCACTTTCAAACTTTCAAAATATTCAAAAATAAATAAATACTCTCCTATGATTTTTTATCAAATCACAAAATTAAAGGATGTATTTCGCTACCAATTTTCTTTCTACATATCATGTATGCTTAATTTTACGATCCATTCATTATTCATTTCAATTTCCTTAATTTTGAAATCTATAACTTGTGTTTGGTTGTGGTTGTTCGTGTCTATAATTATTTTAGAATGATTTTTTTATTTATTTAAATTTCTTGGGTAATACTAATATGTACTCTAAGAGTATATGTTATGTGCCGAAAGACATATGTTAAAGAAATTTATGTTTAAAAAATATGTCTAAAAAAATAAAAAATAAAATTAATTATACATTTATAATAAATTCAATATACAATTTTTAAGATAAAGTTCTTTTATTTAGGTCTTAACATGTCAACATTATCTTTCCTTTAATTACAAGCATTCTAAAAGGACTCTTCTAAAACCATGTTTGAGTGCCTTCCGGAAGGGTGGAAGAATCCTTCCGAAACGACAGTATGATATTTATTTGTTTGTTATTTTGTTTTATTTTTTAATTTTTTAATATTGTATTAAATTGTAAGAATAAAAAATAAAAGACAAAAGCATCAAAAACACAGGAGGGTGACTCCTTGTGGATTTGTTTCTAGAGAATGTTTGTAGAGGTAGGATTCATGATAGACGCCTCGACCACATGATGAAATGTTATCTCCACCGTCATAGATTGAGCCTGAGTCTCAATCTCAATCTCAATATCAGACTAATAGACCAATATCGTTTCTTAGAGTTCAATAAAATATGTCATAGTTGTCTCTTTATCATGAGCATGTCAATGCTCGTATATGAAATGGAGAGGTAAATCTTTTATTAAATTTTGGATATATCATCTATATATTTATACATATACATAGCATATGTATTTATTAAATAATTTCTTTTTGTAGTTTAGTGAT